TTAAAGGTGAATGTGTACTTGCAAGCTAATGCCCTGGAGTCCATAAAGAAACTGAGGTGGAAAAGAGCTTGGATATTTCAGCAAGATAACAATCCAAAAAGTACGTACAGGCTTTGGAATGACCTTTGCAATCCCTAAATTTGAATATGATTGCAAAGTCTGTGGGGAGACATAAAATATTTCTGAGCTGTAAGTTTTTGGAAATGGTGATTTCTTCCAAAAGACGTTTTACTAAGTAGCAACTGACAGCTTTTGCACATGTCACGTTCATTGTTTTTCAATCTGTTAAATTATAAATGCCAGTTGTGCAGAAATGTCACATTTAAAGTGTTAAATTCTTTTCAGTCAGGAATTACATAAAACGTTGAATCGAGCACTTTGAATAGGGGTGGCCAGGAAAAAATCAATGTACTTAAAAATCATATACCTGTAGTGATATATGTACTAACGTAATGAAGGTTGTACATACGGGCAGTACAGTCGCTCACTGGGTTGCAAACCTACTGTCTAGGGTGCTCCCTGGGATAGGCTGCAGACCTCCCATGACCCTATACAAACAGCTAGAGGACAGACTGATGGGTTGATGAGTTGACGGGTAAATCACAGTCAACTCCACAGGTGAGTCATTAAACTGAATAACAATTAACAGTATGTGAGTCTCAATGGCGACATGACTAAACATGACAGCAAAATGACAGGTGCATTAGTCACGAATGAAACGTTGGGAGGAACCGTGTCAAAACATTGAAACTTGTGCCAGCAAACAGCATTGGCAAAGTCAAAAGCTGGTGGACACTTAACAGGATGGTTGCTAAACATGAAACAAACCACAGCCTCAAAAATGACCCAAGGTAATATCCTATGTTAAGGAGCATTAAACTTGTGTGTAATATTGTCTGATGAGCTGATCATGCAAACACTCATCCATCCTGATTTTCTCATATTGGAATGTGATGTCTCCTTAACACTACTAAAAAATTTGAATGAAACAACTTCCAAGGCTTTTCCATCACCAATTGTAATGGGAAGTTGTGGAGTGATAAGTGCAAAACAGATTTCTGCTTCCTTTATCCTGAAAAGACCTGGAACATCCCACTACACTAAGTTCAAGGCATGTATGACTGTTTATATACTTTGTTGGTTACTTGATATTTGTATATTATTTGGTGCTCACATAATTATGTCAACCCCTTGAGTTTTCTAAACTAATTTTTAAACTGTATATGGTCAGCCATGACTGGACTGAAAATTCACATTAGCAATGTCTGTGGCACTGTTGCAGGAACTAGATATTTCTTCCAGTCTTTCGAGCAGCCTTGCCATAAAGTATTGCCTCGTTATCCACAGCATGTGATTCACACAACATCCAATCAAGTGACAGCTTTGTATTACTTCACATCACTATGAATAACTTAGAAATACTATGATATGAATATGTACGCATGCATTGTTTTTCACTGGAATCTTGCTGACAATGATTGCCACTTAAATGGGTTCAAACAAATGTAGTATTAGCGGGTCTGAAGATTGGTGACACAGCGTGGATTTTCCATATCCTCCCGCGCCTCCCAAGACAGTTTGCTGAGCGCCTTGGAATCAAGTAAAATGCTACACTTATTGCGATGCCCCTGAGCAGATAACCCATGTCAGGGGGGATGCATTGAGCTACTTCGGGTTTTACGAACTACTTTAAAACTGAAAGGCTCCTGTGCTTGGCTACATAGGTCAGTTCCTCTTGCTCTTTTACTAGTTTGTTTCTTTGATTGAAAGACTCACATTTCACATTAACATTAGTGGCACATGTGTAGTTACTGGAGATTGACCAATCAGCACACAGCAAGAACTCAGTGCTTAAGTGAAATTCAGACCCTGTTAACTAATACAGTAGTTTACAAATCCTGACCAAGCTTCTTCCCTGACATGGATTACCTGGTCCCTACCCTACTTGATTTGAACCAGCTAGGTTTAGTTCAGGGGTGGCCGATCTTATCCGCAAAAGGCCTAGTGTTTATGCGGGTTTTCGCTGCAACTCCCTAATTAGATTACTAATTACAGGACTGATTGGCTGAAGAGTCCTCACACCTGGGTTTGAACAGCAGACCTACAGGTTATCCCAAAAACCTGCATACACACCAGCCCTTTGTGGATAAGATTGGCCACCCTGGTTTAGTTTGTCTGTCTTGATTTGCATTTGCTAGTATCCACTGCCATTTCACTTTGTTAGCACAGTTGTTAGTCTTTAACATTCTTCAAAGTGAGAACAAATCCCTTTGAAAACTTTGTTGTGTAAAAACAAATTTACAGTAATGGAAAAGCAAACTTTTATCTGTTCAGGAGTATCCAGTAAAAAGAAACACCTGCCATTCTTAATGGGAAGACCAAAGGAGTTCTAGTACAAAGAGCAACTGCTCCCCTAGGAACCTTCCTTCAGCTACGCTATGATGAACATTTGAACCTGACAGGAATTCTCAATGAGCTCCTATCCCTCAGAAATTCATTCTCCTGACTCACATAACTGTATGCTTTCCCACACCATCATGCCTAGCTCACAGCCACATCTCATCAATCCTACCCAAAACCAGGGGCATAAAAGGAAGTCTAACAAAAAGTCACCCCTTGGTGAATTCTAGCAAATCAAATGTCTTGGACCCACCTCCTCTACAACCTGATTGGCGATCTCTCTGAACCAATCATTTTTGTTTCTGCCCTCAGAACATTTTTGTGTAGTAAAACTCCATGCTCTGTTTATGCAGCAGTCTCCATGGATATCCAGAGATAACAGTAGTCTCTTTTATACACTGCACTGAACTGTGCACCTTGACATGGCAATGATAAATACTCTGAAACAAAAGAGATAAGTCCACTTCATGCAAATAAAAGCTAGACATATCTTGCAATGTACAGGCTGCAGATCTAACTGGCCAATACAAGCAAATTATTTTATTTTCATTTTGTTTATAATAGTACAAGTTTATATTACTATTAATTACCTTTTTCTATATTTTTCCTTATTTAACTTAAGGAAATTTAGCTTGCACATACTTTTCTGAAAGACACTTTGAAAGGAACCAAAAAAAAGCTAAAGAAATTCTAACGACAATTTTTGGGTTTTATGTGTAGGACTTAGTGTATGCAAGGTTAAGCAGAGAAAAAGTGTGTTGAGGCTTGAAAGAATGATCACATCCGAGTAGGATGCAATGAAACTGTAGTGTGGGAGGTGAGGTTATAATCAAACATCTGCTATGGTATTTATAACAGGACAGCAACTTTTGAGCTGGTTTCTTGTTCTACTGAATGGATCAAACATAACTAGATTATATAAATTGCAAGATTCAAATACAGCTTTTACATTTTGTTAAACCAGATTTGTTAGAACAGACCTTTATTGCTTAAAATGTGACAATGAAATAGCTAAAGGATTTATTGATGGAATTAAGGAAAAGTGTCACGGATACCGTCCTTTGCACTGTGAAAAAAAATACGTACTAACAATGCACCTGCAATTTAAAGCGGGTTTTGGAACACAGCATATGCAGTTATAATATTCAACAACTATGGTTTAAGCATTTGTAAATATAAATACATTACTTAAAAATTAGGGGGGCACAGAGGTGCAGCGGTCTCTGCCCCGGCTCTGTATGTGTGGGGGGTTTGTTCTCTCTGGGTTTCATGGGTTTTCCCCCCCACAAAAACATGCTAAGGCAGAGGTTTCCAACTGCAGTCCTTAAAAGTTTATGCCTGAGGTCAAAGGAAAATACACGCCCTCTGAACAAAATGTTGAAACATGCTACAACCAAAAGTCTCTTTTGGAAATAATCCTGATGGGGGCTATAATAGTTTTTCCTAGAATTCTGCACAAATCGTCAAAAGTTTCAAATATGCCATTCAATACATGAATGCAAATATGACCGTCCAATTTGAATTTCTGATTTTAAGCATCAACAAACATTAAATCAGAAACGCTCCAAAGTGACCACAGCTGTAACAGCATGAAAGGAAACCACTAACCAGGGTTATGAAGGGGCCTGGAGTCTATCCAAGGTAGCATATAACAAAAGGCTAGGTAACACCCTGAACAGGATGCCAGTCGAATACAGAGCAAATACAGGCTCAGTCTATGAGAAATTCACAGATACCAATTAGCTAAGCTACATGTCTCTGACCAGCAGGAGTAAATCTGCACGATATACGGAGAACATGCAGACTACACATGCAAGACAGAACCAGCAACTGAACCCCAAACCTGGAGGTCTGAGGTAACAATGTTGCCCAGCAATATATCGTATGTCGTGCATGAGCAAAAATCACCAGGGCTTCAGATGGTGGGCAAAACATTTGGCTGACGCCAGCTGTTCTGCACTATACAAACATTTATTCACGCGCACAATTTGGTAAGCAGTTTAGTTGTATAACTAAAATATTGAGGCATTTCATGACGCCCAAAAGTTAGTGATCAGTATAAATTCAACATATCCGTTTTGAAAAATGTGTCAGACTTTAAACTGCAAAAAGTACCATCACACCACCGACATTTTTACCTTGTTTACCCTCAAGATCTCTCCTCATAAAAGATGCGGCTGCTGAGCTCTTTCTTCACCGCCATTTCAGTGCATGTTGCACTGACGTATACCAAACCATAGTATACCAGACCACAATTATGTGGCATGCTCCACCAATGAAACTTAAACAAAGATGCCAAGTTTATTCAGATTACTGACTTTTGAGCATCACAAAACGCATCATTAATATTTTAGCCATACTACTAACCTGCTTACCAAATTATGGGAGTAAATCCATGTCGGTATAGTACCGAAAAGCTGGCATCCAGCCAAATGTTTCACCCGTCCTCTGAAGCCCTGGTGATTATTGTGCATGTATAATATAATATCGATATGCTATTGCCCAACCCTACTGCCTTTTGAGCCATCCATACAATTTCAGGTCATCTGAAATTTCATTTCAACTAATACTCACCAGACTGGAAAGCATAAATGATATAATTCTTGTTCGAACTGTGTACTTATTTTAATGGCCATTTTTATACATGTCAGATTTTCACAGTTGTCCGTCGTTGGTGGAGCAATATTAATACTAATTGTTAAAACAGACTATTGTACAACTTTATTTGGGATGTGACAATAAAACACTGGCCAGCCAAAGAACCAAAACATGCTCTCAAGACAATGGATTTCAGCATAAAAGGTAAGCTAGGATATACCACCTAAATACCAACCACAGATCAAGCAAGCACAAAAAATCCATTTCAAGCCAAAAACTGACGCATGTCCAGAAATCATGGAAGACTGGCTGATAAGATGCTGCCAAGGAGCGCACGGTCTTTCAGGGCATTCTCCACATCCCTCTCTTCAACCTTCAGAGACACCTGGAATGTTAAAGAAAACATCTCAACCTGCAAGCAAGGCAGAGTCATGCAACAGTGCTACCCATTAAGTCATGAAAAAGACACTCTCTTTAGAACTAGTAAAATATTTGCAATGTGCCTGGAAAATTAAAAGTTTTAAAGATACTTGCCTGGACAATGATTTTCCCTATACAATGTATAAAATATAGCACAGTGTCTATAAATGCAGCGCATGAAGTATAAAATTCCGACTGTCTTTAAAGCACTACAATTTCAAAGTTCATTCTTTTTCAGTCAGTTTAAGGTTTGGTTATTCTGCCATGGTTTATCAGCTATACATCAACCCACTAGGTGGCAGTCAAGACATGCATAAAAAAAGGGGGGGGGGGGAAAAAACTTGTAGGAACAAGCTAAGAATGATCAGTCAGTGGATGTACCTTTGTGAGGCGTGCCTCTTTGGCCTTCTTGAGGGAGAAAATCCCTCTGCTCTCCAGCAGACTGCACAGAGACAGACACTCGCTTTGGCCTATACCCACCACCTGCTTCTCAGTACACAGACGACTATATGCCTCCTGAAGCTGGAGAAGAGGGATGGTAACATTGCTTGTTAAAATAATTCATCTTAACTAAATACTCTACTGTACAACACCTTCTAGACCCTGTAATGTGCTCACATGGTTCAATCATTCTGACTGGTCTACATAAAGTAATGCTTTACACCCTATACTGTGTATCACAATCCACTGGGACAGAAACATACATGATGCACTGAAACTGTACCTCTCACCCCAGCTGATCTGATCCGAATCATAAACGTAATCAACAAGGGCTTCACCTTTCCAAGATGGACTTCACGACTTTTCCCCTGGCGTATCAGCATCAGTAGACAGCAGACCAGCAGCTTTTGCTGGAGGGGGAAGCTCTCGTCGGTCCCTCCTCCTGCAGCCATCCGATCCCCGTACACCTCGGACAGCACCTGCGCCACCTGCGGGACGCTCACTCGCAATTCTGCAAGCAGAGTGCAAAAGATCCCAAGTTCCCAAATGTAGAAGCGCTACATGCTCCTAAAAAAAAAGAACCATTAGCACTAAAACTTGTCATGTTTTGCTTCCTATCACAGAGTAAAATGTTCTAGTTCTACCAACTGATTATCACACTTTTTGGGAACAGTGGTGTATTGAAATATAAAATTTGCCAAATGGCACATTTTGCCACGGGGACCTCTCCCTGGCTAATTTGGCTGCCGACATTCCAAAATGTTGAAGAAACACTGCTTTTAAAAATACCATAGAAGTGCTACCAAAATTGTGGCCCCTGAGATGTGACGACTGCATGCACATAACTTGACAGCGATATTACCGTCACATATCGTGCAGTATTAGCGCCGGCAACTCCTACCTCTCTGTTCAGATGATTGATTAGACATGTTGGCCCTAGACTCCACCATCTCCACAGCCCTCCTACAAAGCAGCAGTATAATATAAAGTCACATATTAATATTTTCTTAGTCCAGGTGTCAGTCTCTAGGCTGATTGCAGCATCTGCACAAAAGGTTTAACACAACGGTAAAGCATCTCATGCTATAAAAGCAGGTTTATGGAACTTTCCGGTTTAAGGTTCTTTAAATAACAGAATTCATGCCCCATTATGTTGAAGGACACGAGACGTTACACAACTACTTACCTACAGATGTCTAATGCTTTTCGAGCATCTCCTGAAACTGCAGACACTTTTCTGGCACAAAACTGCACTGCGGCCGTGTCTAAGACAGCGTTACCTGAAACCTGACACGTACATGCAGCTTTAATGACTTGCAAAATCAGTAAACAGCAGCATGACATCTTCAGGTTGTTCCTTTCCCCTTAGTAATGCAACACCTTTTTTGGGCTGTGGGTATCGCCAATAACACGGGAGGTAAATTACGGAAGTACCACAAAAATGTAGCTTAGTATAGCGCAAGGAAATCACAGAAAAAGGCATGACTTCAGCCGCAAAGTTACACGTGGACACGAGCACGGCTGAAACAAGATGACCAAGCTCTGCTGAGCAGAAATAAGCAAAGTGCCAAAAAAAAAAACTATCAGGTGGCCCATAAACTGCACAGAATTTTAGTCAACATGCAAAATCCTTACTTTTGAGAGTCTATCCTGAACTATAGCGGTGAGCTCCTGTCTGCTGTAAGGTGGGAAGTGAAGCAACTGGGGCCGACAGTTGGGTCGAGCCTGTAATCGGGGCAGGATGCGATCCGTCAGGTCCAGCGCATTGGCAATACCTTGGAAAGAAAAAAAAAAAAAAACACACATTTTGAGAAGTGATATGGAGAAATGTCCTTCTCTCAGTCAAGGTACAGAAGTTCCAGAAACAAAATTTGCACCCCCACCAATGCAAGTATTCCCATGCAAGAAATAACGCCTTAGTGCTCACCAATGAGACAGAGGCGAGATCCAGGCAAGTGAGGCCATTCAAAGAGTGAATAAAGAACGTCCTGAGCTTTGCTATCCAACTGATCCATTTCATCTAGGACCAGAAGTCTGAAGGAGAAGGAAAGACAGGTGTTAATACATTAAATTCACCAACCAGAAGGTTGGCATAAGCAGTGCAACTTACACTGTAGGGCCTGCTTTGGTTAGAAGCTTTTCTAGACATCGGTTATCCGCAGAAATCCCAAGCCGTTTGCACAGCAGGGGAAATATGGAGTGGGAAGTGCGCAGTGTCATGCAGTTGACGACTATTGTCTGCACAGCCCGAAGATCACTCTGAGAAATACATCACAGAGGGAACACAATGCAAATAAAAAACAAGCACAGGCATGTAGGACATTATTCTATATTAGGCAAAGACAGAGACCCAAAACACAACGTATATTAGCCAAATATTCCCTTTCAACAAATTAATCATATGCTTTTAGAATTTGTAAACATGACACTTGAGATGTTCTGTCACAAACATGACAGCCTTAAAATGATATATGACACACTAAACAGTAGCAGTCTACATCCTACTCAACATTTGACCAAACTTCCTCATTAAGTTTACAGATTCACTGAACGCAAAGTATTCTGTTGATGGCTAAGCAGTCAAACATGCATGTGGGTTGCAGGTGCAGTTCGTGCGATTCGTACAAGCACAGGTACAGACGGGTACATAGCATTTCTTTGGGTTCTGCATATCCTTTCTTGCCCCCCATGAGAGCAAAACCTTAATTCCGAGCACAAGGTCAGCATTTTCTAGGCCCATCAGTGATATGATTACCTTCAGTCAAGGGATACAAACCAGCGACCTTCCGAACACTGACAAAGACTTCTAACTCACAGTGCTACTGTTTGCTGTTGCCCCTTTTTGTTAACCTAAGAGACCGTTTCACATAGTGCGGGGACAGGCTTGCACACGCTGTACAGATCTGCTTGATAAACAAAAGCGAACTAAGAGGTTTTAACACTGACTGTAATAACGGGCTTAAATATAATTTCATTATTACTGATCTACTGTAATCATAGCAGCTCCAGTCTTACCTCCATCTCTTCCAGTATACAGTTAAGGCAAGCCGTTTTGCCTGTGCCCGGTGCCCCAGAAATATAGAGGCTCGAAGGAAGTCCTTTCAACACCCGCTCCACCAAAAAGGAGCGGATGGATGCCCGCTCAGCTTCCCGCGAAAGCAAACACTCCGGAACTGTTGTGTGAAGGGCCTGTTTCACATTCTGATAGAGAGACTCTGAAACAGAAAATTGTCACAAATTGTGTTGCGTTCATACATGCATATAGCAGTGCTACTGGGGGCCCAAGGATTACCCAGTCATGCAAAATGTACTAACCTTCTTCGGAAAAGAGTCGGACGACAGGTGTGCGTTTCCCAGGGCAGGGCCGGGTGCTGCCAGGAGTCTCCGCAGAACACTTTATGGGCGAGCGGGAGTCCAATGTCTCCTGCTCAGAACGGGTGGACTTGGGGGAAGCTGGACCTTTGTGCTGAACAGAACAGACTGGGCTGTTCTCATCGAAAGCCAGTTTGCGGGGTGAAGATGCTGGCAACCTTCGGCAGATCACTTTTGGAGGCGATCCCTGAAGTTTTGAGGGCAGGTTGCACTCATTTTCGTCTCCTTAAACACAAAAATATTACCATAACAGATATGATATGAGGCTTCGAGGGGAAAAAAGGTAGGATGACAGAGACCAGCACTGACCTGTGCGTTTCCGAGGACTAAGGGGCAAAACGCCTTGTCTGGGGCTCTGTGGGGCACTTTTGCTGTTTTTCACAGTGGTAGCCTTTGAGGGAAGTGACTGTTGCAAAGCACTGTTGAGTTTTATGCTGCCAGGGTTAGGAGACTGAGCCACATTCTTCGGCGTGGAGTTCACCCTGGAAGACTTCCTGCGGGGGAACTGCAGGGTGGGCTGACTCTGAGAACGAGTGCTGGGCATCTTCGTTTCTCTGAATCAAGGAGAATTATGAAAAACGTTAAGTTTCATGCCGAACTCAATATGCAAAAAGACTGACGACAGACAGAGGTTCAGGAAATTGTATTATGTGAACACATGGTGGCATCATAGAAAAAAGCAATCAACTAATGCTTGAATTAAATCTCTAAACTACTTTTATATTGTAATGCAAAATATGAGGCACTAAACTAGTGATGTGTTTTCATAAGTGTATCCTAATATAAGTTTAATAGTGTGAGAGAAGTTGCTTTCTTAGCGATTGACATCACTAAATACTTCATTAAGGAGCCATGTGTGAAAATAACCGTTGACATAAAAATATATTATTTCTACTCCGACAGGCCTAATGCCAGTAGAATGCATTCTAATGAAAACAATTAATATTAATTATAGTTATTGACCAGACCAGACAAACAAGACGGCAAGGGGCAGATCACGCCTGAAATGGCGAAAATACGTCGTCACGTCGCAAAAATTACTATACGAGACTAGATATAAAATGAATGCCTAAATAAAATGTTTAATGATAGTTTTCACACCGCAATACAATACAAAATTGCAATCGTACCATTAAAATGTTTAGCTACCGCGAAACATTTTGCAAAATAGTTCAGACTCCCGCGACAAGTTGGCCTTTAGCTGATGTCCTAATTTCCAGGCGCAGAACTTACAAGCCAGCTTTAAATACAGAAACAGTCATATACAGCAACCTACCATATTTTGCCAGTTGTGAATTACGGTAAGCGTATAAAACTGTAATATTAACGAAGTTCTCGTTCATGAAGTGCATACCTACCTTTTGTAGCAGCAGCAGAGCACGACCACCGGCGTCCCCGACTAATGAAAGCAAATGGTACTACAGAATTCGCGCGAAACCCACACAATATACGTCACCGCCTAGCACTGGCTTCTTATTGGTCGGACCGAACGATTTCATTGGCGGAAAATATCCCGTCGCGCCAATTTTTAATAACAGAATCAGAATTGAAAACAATAATACCACAAAAAGCTTTAAAGAACAGATACATCTGATACACTTCTTGTGGATAGGCAATACTTCTTCAGAAACAAGTTCTCTTTTATAAATCGGTTTTATTCGTGTTATGTTGCTTCGTTGACTTTACACAGCTGCCATTCTATTGCGGGACTTTCTCTGTACGTTTCACTGACGCGAGATTTCAAGTGGTTTCTTGAGGCGGGATGAAATATCAGTTGTATGAAATACGTAGCCAGTTGTTTGTATGCTAGTTCATAAAGCATGTATTGAGATACCACCTAATCATGTCAAGTAGGACAATTTGAGCTAGGACAAGATTTTAAAAAGTATCATTTCAATAGAAAAGTTGGATTTCGTTTAAGCGCTGAGCTCTTGCTGCGTACTGATTGGTCAATCTCCTGTATTCATGTATATTTCACTTACGTTAATATGAAACAGCTCAGTCAGTCTTTCAGTAAAGGAAATATACCAGTCAAAGCACAAGAACTGAACTATTTAGCCAAGTAGAGGAGCCTTTCTGTTTTAAAGTAGTTACAGTTTCTGATATAGACTAAGTGGTAACCCTAATAGAGTTGCTCATTTGAATGAATAACATCAATCCTCGTTGGTCTTTGTTGTCTTATTGACTTAGGAAACGGCTGGAGGTTCTATTTCAGTTATATATGGGCATTTACTAATTCCTCTTAAATCTGCTGTTCTTCACCTCTTTTCCGCAGTTAAGTTAAACAATCATTTTGGCATTTAATCATTTACCGTTTATCCAGCGCAGGGTGAACCAGGAGCCTGTCCCAGAAAGGCAGGTGGACACCTGAACAAATGCCAGTGCATTACAGGCTTAATTGGCATAAATTACACAATCATTAAACAGGGTTTTAGTTATGAAGTTGACACATATTTCAGGAATTATTTTGGAAACTTTCATACAAGCATGTCAGTTTAGGCTACTTTAAAAAATAAAAATTCAAAATTAGTAAGGAAACAATTGTTAAGTTTATGAAATAGAGGTGATTGTCTTGAAAAGTGTCATGGTGGCAAAATAGTTCAGTTTGTAGTAATGTGGATTTATAGCAGAATTAATTCTACTCACATAATATAAAATGGCAGGATATATAGATATGGTGGAGGCTAATGTTTGTGCAGTTAGAAATTGAGTAATGTGAAATTAGATCAATAAATCGACCATCTTATTGATATTCTTCTTTATGTGATATCCCAGAGATAATTTCGATACAAACGTTTGGTTGAAATAAACATTTGTGACAGAAAGGCACTGCATTTTTTTTTTTTTATAAACAATTAGTTATGGTTGTAGAGATTCAAATCCTTAAACTAAACTTAGCATTTCATTTGAAATGCATTTTTTCCACATTGTGTAAGAAAACTGTAGAACAAGTAAACTGAACCTGTAAACATAAAAAAAAAATCAAATACACCGTGAATTATAATTATGCTTTACATTTCTGTGAAGAATTTTGATAGTATGCAAAGGCAAGATTTTTTTTTACTGATGACACACTATGCAAAAGGGAGAAAGTTCTTGCCATTTCTGGCTGCCACCCACAGGCAGCAGCCAGAATTACCCCCACACATATTTCCCCCCCCACGTTATTTACCTACACACACACATACATACAAAACAAGCATTGTTTGAGGTTTTATTTTATTTTAACAGGAAAAACATGGCTGACAGTCAAAGTGAAATGACCCTTGTAGAACAAATAGTAAGCATTGATAGAGTAAAAAAAAAAAAAAAGAGAGAGAGAAAAAGAAAAAAAGGAAAAGAGAAAACCAGAATATCCCTCAATGTGAGTAAAAGCAGTTCCTGTTAATACAGCCACAAAAGTTCATGGTAAAAGACACAGAAATGCAGAACAGAGACTTGGCTAAGAATTTGTCTCTGGCCTCCAATAAATCCCTCACCTCATTTGTTACCTACTTCTGTCATTTTGTTTCCTATATTACAAGCTTTATACAACAAAAATAGATCAAAAGCTATGATTACCTTAATTACCATATTTTGTGTAAATATACATATTATTTATTATGGTCTTTTTAATAGTTTAATTTTTAAAACAAATTTACTTGTACCGATGATCACAGATGCATAAGGCAAAAGACCAGCTAGGTTTTCAATGAGTGATGAATGGTACGGGTGTAAGGGTTCTATGCCAAAAAAATACATCGCCTCAACATGATCATATAGATACATTTTTAAATCAACATTATAAATTAGGCGGGATATCTTTAGAAAAATAAATCATTGTTTAAGTTCAAAGAATTACGTTTACTTTTGTAATTAACTCTTAGGGTATTATTGCCAATTGAGATTTCTAAATAAATGCATCAGATTTCCATTGCATAGCAAAGCACCCAAAACCATTTGCTCCATTCTTTAGTTTGCACAGTCACAGATTCTTTTCAAAAATGCTCATCTAGAACAATGGAAAGAATATAAAATGTTTAGTTATAGCAGAGTTTTCATTTAAGGGGTGTCACAAGAATAATTAGCATGCACAGATAGCTGATACGAGTCCATATTAATAGTCCAGAATGAAATTTAATGGAAACCAGTGTAGGTACTGCTACTGACAAAATGAGTCAGGATGTGACTACAATGGAAAGTTCACTGGGGAGTAGCAAAAATATACATTTCACTGTTGACTCCTTGCATATATATATATAAAAAAATCTGTTAATTGACTGATGAGTCTCTCTCTAAACTTCATTCACTTATGGACCTTTAATAGTAAAACAAACTCATCATATGCAAGCTTCAAATTTCTCACAGTCCACCTGGTTGATAAGTAGTATTATTTAGGTGGCATTTCAACCTCTAACTTTTGCCATATTTGACACAGTGTAAGACATTTAGTTTTGTTATATCAGGCCATACAGGTACCTGTATCAAACATTGCAGTTACTATATATCTGCATTTTTTGTCATAGGAAAAGTGGCCAAATTAAGGAGCTTTACACTTAAACATAAAACCAATGTAATTCTGTCGCATTTTGCCTTTCAAGTTTTGCTAAGGAAAGATTTACATTTTCCTCTTGATCCAAAAACAAAAAAAATATTGATACATTTTAAAGGGTATTGTTGCCTCAAACTGCCATTATTCTTGTTTGAAATCCACCTTAATACATAATTTTTAATCATTAACAAGCAGCAGCAACTCTTCTGAAATTTGTACTAACTTTGATGATGCAAGTACTGCAAAAGCACCTTAAACTAAAAAGGGACAACAATTATAACGTACCTGTCAGCTGGCGGGTACCTAAAGCCAACAGATTGCTCTCTTTCACCAGTCTAAACACTCAAGTTTTGTAATGTATGAAGATTCGTGTTCAAACAAATAAACTGTCAACTCTTCCAATAACCACTCAAGCCACAGCCCACATCCAAAAAGGCAAAGCTTGTAGCTTCTGTCATCCAAAACAATGTGGCTTTTTTGGAACATTACTGGCACGTCGTATGGCTAAAGCTAGATCTTCATCAGTTTTCTGAGAAGAATGTTTGCCACGGTGAAAGCTTATGACACCAACACCATCATACTGTCCAAGTCCCAAAAAAAAAAACAACCTTAGCTTGTACCTTAAGACAGAATTCAGTGTTTCAGCTACAAAAACATTTGGCCTGAATTAGCATCTGTCTACAGATGGAGGTTTCAGTTTAGTAAACCCCCTAATCAAAAGAAACAGTTGTGACAAGTGACTTTTCAATTCACTTCTTTAGTCTTCTTCAAAAGAACGGGCACCATTTTTAGAAAAGAAAAAAAAAAAAAAAACTGTCCTTAGTGAAAGTTACCATGAGACAACCCAGGCAACAGTGATTTGAATATTTGCACAGCAGAGAGGAAACACGACATCACTATTGCTATATATTCTGCATCCCCAGCAAAGATAACTAATTTATGAACTCGGACTGTGCATGCAGAGACCAGTATTGTCAGAAATAAAACTTAGGGAAACAAGTATCAATAAAACATACTGGAAAAATTAAACAGTACATGCCAACACATGCAAGGAGTGAATTTTCATCCCAAATTTCCCCTCAAAATATTGCACTCATTCAAAGTCGTTGTTCCTGGCAAGTTTGGTTATCATTACAAGCATGGGAATGACAGAAGGCAAGGCAGCCATTAAACAGCTCTTCCATTCACCTGGAATCTTGACTGCTCACAATAAAAAAGTTAAAGTATTCAAATCAACAAAATAAAAATTCTTGGCCACTTATTTGTCATGTTGCATTTCTTTTCATGCCGAAAAAAGAAGAGATGGAATGCATGGCGATTATACTTTTGTGTAGGTAATTGCCCAAGTTTGGTCTTGTCCTTTTGCTCGAATTTCGTTGACTTTGGAGTTATCACATTCCACTGATGAATAAGTGCAGGGCCATGCTCAAAGTCATAAAGGATTTGTGCCAGAAAGAGAAATATGAGTGAATAGAGGTGTCAGTGGGTTGGTCGAGTACACTGAGCAGGATGATATGGTACAGGCTGGTAGTTACATGTTTATGGTGTGTATTTGTTTTGTGTGTAACCCTTATCTCCTGTGTATCAATAGTGATCCGTCACAGTTTTCACCTTCCTACAGGTGGCAATGGCGGGGCGCCCCTCATCACTGCTGAACCAGATAGAAAGGGGGGAGGGCAAAAAGAAACGATACATACGTTTAATCAAACATATTGCACATAACATTTATCTACTGTCACAATACGCAGCCATTCAGCTCATGAACTGACAACATTTTTTTTTTTTTTTTAACAAAAACAGGTAAGTGTAAAGTATATATACCCCATAAGGACACATTTGTTTTGGGAACTATCTATACCCATTAACATATTAATATTCTTCCTTAAAGATTAAGCACACAGGCATGCATTATTAAGAATATGAAGTTGTACTAATCAGAACTGGGAAAGCATTGTTTGACATACCTCTGTTTGTTTTACTGGGGTAGATTTTTGTGAAATGCCTGTATTCCTCTGGAGGTGGAAATTCCTCCATAGAGTGGAAAGAGTACTTTGACTCAAAATCATCTAAAGGGAGACAGAAAAAAAAAAAAAAAAAACTTGGCACAAGTTCTTGTATCAGTGGTAGAACTGCATAAAAACCCGATTATCTGATCCTCTTACCTATGAAGGACTTGGAGATGGAAGTATGTCCGTTGCGAATGGGTGGTGGAGGTGGTGGGGGCCCAGCAGGGGTTCGTGAAGGGGGGGGTGGGGGCTTCCCTCGGGTAAGAGGCTCAGTAGGGGTGGGAGCAGCAGTGCCATGCATTCTGTACGGCGGGGGAGGAGGGGGGGCATCCCGGCCACCATTCCTCATCACTGGAGGGGGCACTGGTGGAGCTACACAAACAAAACACAAAAAGGGTTCAAATGGGAATATATCTGTCCATCCATGATGCAAAGGTAATAATTCAGGTCCAGAAAGTACAAATCCAGACCAAGATTTTGTTTCAACCAACCATTTGAGTACTCAGTGACTGCAGCCCTTTATATAAGTGATTGGTTGAAACAAAACCTTGAACTAACACACTAAGGGCATTTCAGACATATCAATTAACCTAATTGCATGTCTCTGGGCTGCCAGAAATCTGCTTGGCTAAAGAGAAGCAGGTTTCACAAAGAACAAAATTATATAATTTCATAGATTTGTTTCACTTCTCGTGCTGTTCAACCTGATGAATAAAAGATAGATGGAGCCATTAGCAAAAACAAAGTTCTGTTCAATACTATAGCAGAGTTGTTAAAAAACAAAATGTGCAAAAAAATCCTGAAAAAAAGAAAGATGACTGGTTATCACAAAGAGAATTGCCCAAGAAGGCCAAATAAAACAACTGAAATATAACGTATTTCACATAAATACACTATCAGAAGTAAAGACATACATTTTCCATTGCAATAATGGGCAGAAATCTTAAATTGTCAATATAAAACACAATGAATGGAACCATTACATCTCTTTGTAAAGGCTTCTATGATCCATAGGGCTATGTTATTTGGCGCTTGAGGCTACCCTGTCTGGCCCAAGGCTTCCAGGACATAGATCCAGATGAGGGTGTTCTCTAGAAAGCCCCAGGTGACTACCCGAGCAATGGCTATGAGGAGATATCTTGTGAGGGCATCATCTACAAGGTGCAAGGGCAATGCCAGCTGGGCGCCAAGCGTGAGAGAGAAGGCACCAGACGCATCAGATTTTGGCAGCGGATAACAGATTTGGAAGTGTGTCCATGTGATCTCTGGCGGGTAAGGGGGCTGAGTGCAAGAAGCATAAGGAGTCCTCTCAGGTGAAGGACCTTGCAGATGGATGTGTGAACACGGGTCCCAGCACTGTGCCATTTGTTCCCTGGTGAACACTGGCTCCATGTAAGTTGCAGGATTTCTTTTTTTTTTTTTTTTTTGAAGTATAGTAGGATTACTTAAGAGAAAGTGTTCAAAAGGGTAACCTTTCAGACTCTTCACAGTGGGTAACTTCAATGCACAACTGGAGAATGGAGATACCTGGATGGGTCTGCCTGGAAATGATGATAGATCTAAACCCAAGCAGTGAGTTGTATTTCTGTGCAAGCTATAGACGGTCTGAAACAAACACCAAGGGCAAACACAAGGCTGCCCCTAAGTGTACTTGGTACCAGAGCATCCGAGGTCAAAGATCAGTGACTGACACTGTAACTTGTAATATGAAATGTACATGAAATCTGTCCAAAGATGTTAAAGGTACTGGATATTGTTGGAGTTACATGGCTGGCAAACGTCCTTAATGTTTGATGGAAGACCAAGAACCCTATTATTCAAATCAGGGTCCTCGAGGTCCGAACACTGATGGTTTTCCAGCCTTCCTTTACCTGTCAGTCAGGTGTGAAGCCTCTGACCAATCAGAGTCAGTAATTATTAAACTAACAACCTGGGAGAACTGAAAACAAGGCCTGGATTTGAAATTGAGGTCCAGATTTGAAGAACCCGGACCAAGAACCTCAGGACTGGGAAACAGAGCAGGTGGTCCCAACTGTGTTCGAACTACTGCTTCCCTGGGGAACCCTATGCAGGGTGCTGCAGAGGAGACTCTGTCCAATGGTTGAACCACAAATTAAAAGGATACAATGCAAATTCTGCACAGGCTGTAACGATTCTCCCTCTTGCAGTTGTGTGAGGATTCATGATGGAGAAGAATCCAATTTTAATAAACAAAGCTTATAAATGAGAGTGAAAATGGTCTCCTATGAAAGTGATATGTCTGCAATTCATACGACTGAACAAGTATTTATCGTTTCGTCTTAAAATGTCAGTATGTCAGCAAGAATGTGAATAGGATGAATGTGGGTGAATAGGAGAAGTCTGTCACTTTAAACTGGTTATATACTTCCTAGAAAACATATTTGGATAAGCAAGGCTGAGAACAGGCAAACAGTTGTCCAGTTTTAAAATGTATTTGCATATTTAATAGGTTATTCTGAAGAAATAAATTCTGAACACATTTGCTAAAATATCAATCTTTATGTTTCCAATTAGGATCAATCGTTTAAGATTCTGGATCTCTCTAATTGTGTATTTGGTTTATTAACCACAAAATATATTTATAGTTTATCAAATAAGTTTCCTTGTTTGTCTTCTAGATTAGCCATGTAGGTCTTCCTTGAAACCATCAAGTGCATATCTTACATGTTGAGTGAAGAGTCACTGATTCGTCACTATATTTCACTAGTTAGTAATAAAAAATAACTTCCAATAGAAGTGCTCTCAATCAAAATAATCAAACATGTACTGTGGATTTAAGACACAATTGTGATTAGAACTGTACCTGCTCCACGGCCCGGGGGTTCTCGGGCTGGCGGGGGAGGTCGGCTGCTCTGAATAGATGGAGAAGGTGGTGGAGGAGGTGCCTGGGCTCGGGGCTGGGTGCTAGAAGGTATCTTTTTGTGCAAGGAATTATGTCTCTGTGGAAGCTCAGGAGCCGCCTCATTGCTAGGGCTGGATGGGCCATTAGGGACCCCTGGGGGCTGCCGATAGGGGGGAGGTGGTGGTGCGAGGGAGGTAGAGCCCACTCCACTCGTGGGTCGGGAAGAGTTGTGTGGGGATGGAGGAGGTTTGACTGGTGGAGGCGGAGCAGCATCCCGGCCTGACACAGGAGGCGCTCTGTGTCCAGGGGTGGGAGGGAGCGGCTTTTCCCTGTTATAGGAGGTAGCAGTAGCCTTCTGCTGGGGAGCAGGGGGTGCGTTGCCCCGACGATTTACAGGCGGGGGTGGGGGTGGGGCTGAGGAACTGTGTTTCATCCCCCCAGAATTGCTGCTAGTACTTGGCGGCCGGGATATATCAGGGAGAGAGGGCCTGTGAGAGCGGGGAGGCTCTGGAGGAGAAGCCCGCAAGCTGGCGGTCTCACTGTCAGCCTGACGCCCAGAACCAGAAGAAGTGCCGCTCACATTGGGGCGCGGAGCAGAAGGTTTGGACCCAGGTGGCTGCAGTGCTGAAAAGCACAGAGAACAAAGAGTAAAGAAACAGCATAATAAACCCAACAACATCACTGCCAATTTAGGGTTGCAGAAATGAACAAATAGTAATAAAGCATATTTACTAGACTGATTGCTGCAAATCAGTTTCAAATTCTGCAAAAAGTATGGTGTAAAAATTAAACATAAAATATATATAGAAAATATAGAAACATATAAACACAATGTTGTCTTGCCTCCTACTGGTCGAAGTTTAGGGACCCCTCCCTGGAATAAGCCCCCCATTGACTTCCCGGCTCCCGGTCCAGCTCCACTTCCACCAGCACTGCCACCGCCTCCTCCCTTTGGTTCTGCAGTCATTAAAGTTTTCTAATACTTAATCTCCATGACTTTTTTCCACTTATTCAATACCAATACAGACCACATGTGAGAAAAGCCTCACCAGATCAACATTAAGTGCAACAGTATACAACTAATGTTATATTGAAGGTTAGCAGTCATCTATAAAAAAAAAAAAAACTACTAGACAATTTTGCTTTTAGGAGGTTACACAAGATTCCAACTACGCCGAGGCAGCTTTGAAAAGCTGTACAACATTTAAAGAAATGAGCTCTACACCATCTAAATTTTAACAACCAAAATGCTGTCACACAACTGCTTAAACCAGTAAAACCAACTCATTTGAGGAACCACCTTCTCAAATGAGACGTCACCATTCCACCTCAGAAACTACTTACTCTCAATAACCGGTGCACTCCTATCATTGACAACAGCAACCTTCTTCAGCCTGGCCCCTTTGCATATGTCTGTTAGCAGAGCATCTCTACCTTTAGCTTCATCGCGGTTCAGTTTTGGCGGATTAGTATTTGCCTAGTGAAACAGTGTAACGTCAGAATTTGTTTTCAAATGGTTTCTGAATATCTCATCACATTTTGTTACAACCTTACATATAGAGTCAATTTCGTGGAAAGTTAATAAAACTACAAAGAGACAAAAAGGTACACATGCAAATATGTATCTCACAATTTGCATGAGACAGATACGTCACTGCAAATATACCAGTTTGGCAAACTAGACAGCAGAGGAAGTCTTGGTTTGGATTAATTTTGCAGGCTTTTACAACAAAATCAGCTTAGTTCATTTAATTATTTATGTTCACTAAATTCAAACTATGAGTCTGGAAAATGTCTAGAAATGTAGCGGTAGTCTATGTTCTCCTCTGCCTCGTTGCATTAAATAATTGTTGTTGCAAAGAAGAATTTAGTTATTTGTTGTGATAATTACATTTATTATTTGTCTATAGGTATTATTCACACACACAGTAATATTTTAATGCATCATTCATTATATTAAAAATAAAGACCTACTCAGTTGTTGTACTGACCTGGCTGAATGTGGGGGGGGGAGGAGGTCCTCCAGGGGGCGGTGGGGGAGGGGGAGGAATTGGCATCCTGTACGCGCTGCTTATTCAAAGGTTCACCTGAGCGTGTCTCTGTCCACACACAAACCTACGACATACAAACTTATTATATATATAAAATCTTAGCTACATATTTTATTTTCAAGTCAGGGCAAACAAATTAAACACCCATAAGGTTCAAATGACTGCAGGGACAGAAATTAGGCCCTCAAAATTTTGTTTGTGCATTAATACAGGATCAGATAAAACAAATCTCAGAACTAAATGTCCATAATCTATTTAAACTCTAGTCATAGTATATTACCATAGAGTATCATCTCAGGTTTCATTTCCCCCACTGTATGGTAAAGACCATCTTGCATACGTGTCCGAACAAGTTTTCACAGTAGAACTGGAATGTCACTATACAAGCTTGACAGTCTGACGAACTTCAAAAGGAATGATAAAAGAATGTTCCGTAAACAACCAGCACATTAAGGAAAAACTCCAGAATGCTTTTGATTTGAGAATGTGTTATTCACCTTATTCACTCCAGAGAGTTAAATGAGAATAACAGAGAACAACAGAATCCTAAATAAATATATAAAAATTAGACATACTGGTACAGTAACATAAAATAAAATGCCAGAATAGACCAGGTAAGTGATAAACAAATATTTTACATATAGTACATCTGAATACCAAAATGCATTTTTGTGCTTGCATCTGGCAATGCAATTTTTTGTCCTGCTAAAATGAACAGGAATACTAGAATTCACAGATGTTACAATAAAGACATGAAATCACATAAACAAAACAACTCATTGCCAATTAGTTAAATAAAAACAACAAAATCAACCTCTGATAATTTTGTGGAGTTTTAAGTTGCTATGTTCACGATACAAATAGGAAATAAAATTATATTATATGTTTTTTAATGTACTGTGTGTTTTTGCATGACATAAACCAACGTACCATGAAAGTTTTGGTCTTGCTGCATACCAGAAACCTTCGAGGCCATGAATCACAGAAATGCATATTTAACACATTACTCTTCAAAAAAGAATTTCTCTTCAGTACAGCAACTTTCATTTTTCAGTGTACAGCCCTTAATATTCTGATCGTCTATAGGTATCTATACAATTTGCAAATTTAACATCTAGTGCTTCTTGGTTAAGAAAAGCAAGATAACATGGTAATTAAATTAAACAAATATTTATATGCTCAGCTGGTGTCTGTCTTAAGATATGTTCCTCGTTTTTCTTTAATCAAGTATTTTGTGAAATTAACAATACAGCTACAAACCATTCAGCCCCATTCTTGCTTGACATGACAGGAGAAATTACAATACAGTTATTGTCATATTTATTATTATTAATAAATGTATAAGACATTTTGTAACTATTTTTAATTTTATCATTTAGCACTTTTATTCAAAGCGACATACAATTCGGAAAGCCGGGTCAGCCATTTCCTGGCACAAGTGACATGAAGTGTTAAAGGGTAACACTGTTGGTTCTATTTTTAAATATTTTATAAACTCTCCATCCAGCAAAGGAATTATTCTAATAAAGTTTATAATTTGAAACATCTGCATTTGCAGTTCTGTTATTAGAGATTTCCTGAAAATGCAAGAGAATACAACAGAATTCCTTTATTGTCATTGTACACAACAGGTACAACGAAATGCGAAAACTAAACGTTTAATGATCAAACGTTATCTTAATCCAAATTATGATTCATCAGCCAATTTCACTGATCATAACATCTTAAAAAACCTGCACTGTAATTGTTTTTTGTTACAATTCATAAATCATAATCAACAGTGATTTGGCATAATCATCCTAAGTATCTTTTAAAATGAAATATGGGTAGCAGGAGAAACGCATTCATCCCAATGACCTATTTCACTATCCAGACCACTCCAATGATGATTATGGGGGAATGTTACATGTTTGTAAAACCCATGGCGTTAGACCTACTATTGCCTTTTAAACTTAGCTTTAAGAACAGTTTCACAGCCCTATGCTCACTAATCCACGCTGAATATCAGTTTTGTATCATTTGTATATAACACTTGGTTATGCATATGCATCATTATTCATATTTGGACTTAATGAAATTAAAAACCGTAAATGATAAGAGGTAATCATTTGATGATGTTTATCCTGGTCAGGATGACGGGAGGCTGGCACCCAATTGCAGGCAGCATAAGGCAGAAGGCTGCAGTATACTCTGGATGAGATGCCAACCCAACACTCGGATAATCAGATTCTCTGGGCAATTTAGAGACACCACTCAACCTAACCAGATGTCTTTGGAATGCGAGATGAAATTGAGTATCCGGAGGAAACAGGGCTAAAACTGCGGAAGAACGTGCAAGCTCTACATCAGGAGTAGCCAACCCTGACCCTGTAGTGCCGGTATCCAGCAGGCTTTCCATCCTACCTGGTCTCGGATGAACCACACCTGATCTCAGGCAGTACAACTCAAAACCTGCTGGATACCAACACTCCAGGATCAGGGTTGCCCACCCCTGCTCTACATCCTCACAAGTGGGATGTGAATCTCCACTCCTGGAAGTGTGCGGTAACTGTGATGCCCATTGAGCCACTCTGCCACCCATTTCTGATAATATACATCCTACAATGCCCTGCAACTTCCTCCTTTATCCAGGTATGCAAAGTATGGTCTTACTCAAACCTTTAGCACTGTCATTAAAGACAGTACATTGCACATATAAAGAAGTACAAGTAAAGTCATTAACAGTCCGAATTTCAAACCTATTAACCTGTTGCGGGTCAAACATAGCAAAGGTAACCATAAAACCCACAGTGATGGAAATGTTAAATGAATCTTCACAATGCATTGTTTCTATTAAAATGGGCTTTAATTAACAACAAACTTCAAAAGTCTGTCTGAACAAAGAAGCAAATCTTGTCCATTATTTTAACTTGAAAAAAATAATCTATAGTAGTAAAATGACAAAAAAAACATCAATATATAATACTTTGATCTCATTAATACCAAACAGATGTTATTTATGTGTTACTGGGAAATTTACTATTAGATATATCAAATGAAACATCTGAACCAGGGGCAGCCAACTTTTGACATCTTAAGCTGATGAATATGTTGGCTGCAGGGCCAGTTGTGTTGGTAATCATTTTTGACAGACTGCGAATGTGTCATTCTACCATTCAAATCCTATTGCAACAAGGCTATTTTAGGTCGCTGAAAATAATTTCACATCATAATAATTACATTGATAAAAGCTTAAAAATAAGTTTGCCCATTTTAAATGTTCAAATTGCAAATAAAACTCGTTTTAAGTTTCACAAATTTCCAATAAAAGCAAACACTTTAATAGCACAAATGTACTTGCAAATGTACCGTCGTACCGTCATTTTAGTTCACTTAACTACAACTGAAAAAAAGCCAAGTCCTCAAACTTAATTTTAGCCTGACTTGACTATTATGGTGCTTTCAAATCAAACTGAGAGCTCAGCAATATTGAAACTAGTATACCAGGCCTAGAATGACCCACATAAAGGCAAATAACAAAAAGTTATCTTACCACTGTCACAAATGACTGCTAATATATGCTTTGAGGGACACCTCTATATTATTTAATAACATAAGTGTAATATCAAGTATTGTTGTCGATTGTTTAATTAGTACACACCAAGAGCACTCCTGGAGACCAATATGTGTAGACACCTCGTTTTTTAATTGTATAATTTACACAGATGGAATACGCTACATTACAAGCTTTAGAATACACTTAAAGTTTTGTCTGCCGAGTGGATTTTTTCAGTATTATTAGCGACATTTTAAGCCGACAGTGAAGGAATCGGCTCATACCCGGCGACTTTGTATTCGAAGAAACCTGCCTTTCTGCGCCTGGAACAGGAACTAGATCGCACAGATTCCACAGTCATTCTGCATTTTGCCATATCTGAGAATAATACTGGGTTCAGAAATACGCGAAGAGCGTCCTTGTACCGTGCAGCACACACACACATGTATAACTGACTTATACTTCATCATTAAACTGGAGTGGAGGCCTTTAAGTCCTTAAACACCGCACCGCAGCTCCTCACAAGGTGGACTTCGGCAGCGGCTTTTTACATTAAAACACCCAGGAAACTAAAATTCCCCGTTTCACTTAGAGCATAAAACATTATATGTAAATGTTACCATACGGAAATGCAAAAGGTTATATTTATGTAACCGGACTGTCGGCAGGTACCGGAGTAGACGGCGCCACACCTGCCCCCGAAGGTGGTGGCCAGATGAAACTACCCTAAAAATCACGATTTGCCACGCAGCTGCACGTTTGACAGTCGTCTGGAGGTAATTTAAGTTGGTAACTCTTCAATGCAGTGATTTAACTAGAAGCGTAGACCGCTCATAAATAATATCTCCTACTGATAATACACACATAGGGTAGTTACATCAGTAAAGGCGGATAATCTCCTCTATTCCCAGGTACCACGTCGTGTAATCATCCATAAGTTCCTTGCCGTTTTTCTTTCTGCATATAAATGTCATTTGGGAAAAATGAAAGCCAGCAGCTTGGCGCAGTTTCGCCCGTTCCTGCCGTGTTATGCCCGGCGTGTCTGTACTCACCTAGTCGGGAGCGAAGATCGGCAGTCCGTCGCCTCAGATAACAACATCGATTAAAGATCAGCGGTGCGATTTGAGACAAAAGCCTTCAGCAGCTAGCTGACTAATGAACAACAAGTCGTATTAATGCATAAACGGGAATTTAAAGGCTATTATCTCTGCCTTCTTCTTCACTGCCCATCCATTCGGCTGTTATTGCGATCGTAACTCGTAATCGTGCCGTCGGCCATGTAGCCAGCTAGCTACAGCCAGCCTGAACGTCCCCACTATCTGAAAAACAGAGAAAGTCGCAGCCTATTGCCCATCTGAAACTAGTCAGAGAGACCAGATTTAAAAAACCAACTGGCCCAATATCTGCCTGATTGTATCCCGCACTAGCTGAGGTTAAGAGGCTGGCTATCGGCTGTCCCCACAGCTAGTTAGCCGGACGAGCCTTTCCCATTCTTTCCCCCGTTTGCTGGAAAACCCGGAAACGAATTCTTCATCCTGACAAAATGGAGGAAGACAGGCGAAAGAAATACCCGATAAGAGCCGTGCTGCAAAGTACAGCATAATCAGGTGGCTTTATGTCCGTGTGCTTTTCTCTAGTCCATTATGCTGAGCGGTAAGATTAATGCTGTAGGCATAAACTGAAGCAGAGGATGGACATGGAAAAACGAAAACGACACATATAAAGTCCATGTGAAGAAAAGCTGCCATTATGCCAAATAAACTGAAGGGCATTATTTTTTCAGCAAATGCATTTGTTCATTTTTTCCCCCAAACCTCTACACGACAAGATAACATAAACTGCATAGTTAAGTGTTACCAGATTAAGAATGTTTTATTGGCCATGTGCAAAAAATGCATTGGAATGCCGAGTTGTTTTAGCTACACAAGTATAAAAAACAACATGGTATATAAATACATTAACTGCAAATAGACAATGGATGTGCATTGCGTGCAGTTAAAATAAATAACATTATAATTTGTATCAAATGCAGGTGCAAGAAATATTGTTGTAGTCTAAGTAATCCATATTTCTATAAATAATGTGGATAGTTTGAAGGAAAAAAGTTTTTGAATCTGGTAGTCAGTATTCTGATGCTGCAAAACCTAATACTAAAGTCGCCAGGGTTGAGAATTGCTAATACTCAGTTAGAGTTTGGATCCCCAAATATACTTTATACTTATTTTGCAGCAGCAGTTGACATAGCCTATACCTAGTCAATGGATGGAAGATTGCCCCCTAGGGTCCTTTGGGCCAACCTCACTGCCCTATGTAAGGCCTTCCATGTCTGAGCAGTGGCTGCACGATGCCAGGGTGTAATACGGTCTGTGAGTCTACATTCAGTGGTAAGTGTGGTCTTCCTTAGCTGTCTCAGGAAGTGAAGGCACTGACAGGCTTTTGTGAGGATTGATCCATCTTAACCTTTTAGAGATCTGGAGGCCACTGAACCTGAAGCTGCTTGACAGTATCCATTGGAGAGCCATCAATGGTGATTAGTGTGTGGCTTCTGCTGGACCTCCTGTAGTCCACAACAATCTCCTTTTGTTTTAGCAATGTATGTATGACAAAGTATATCTTGCTTTCATTTTGAGTGGTATTCCAGATGGGGAAGAGAACTATAGAGCGCTATTTTAAAATTCAAATCATCTGTAGTTCTGTAAAAGAGTATTAGCAACACGAACAGCTTTCACATCATAAAGCGACACAGAGGAAACTGTCACAGGTTACCAACTCTCACGCACCTGGCGGGACACTCACGCTTTCAGACTCCCACGCTCACGCAAGAAATATTACGGCAAATCTATATTATTCCATTATGAACCTAAAATTACCCATATCAAAAGTGATGGGGTAGTTTGCAAACCATACAGACTATTTACAAGGTTATAAAATTGTTGCATACATGTGCGAACTTTTGTCGAAAATCTTACACCAGCCAGCTGACCAAAGTTGGCAATCCTGCTATGACAAAGGTCAGCTAGTAAAATCAGTTTCATTTGCATACATGAATAGATTAAATAAAGACCAAAAAGCCAGTTTACTAAGGGACTAATCTTGGCAACCTTCAAATATAAATGCAGTATTTAAAGTTTCTTAAGCATTATTATTAAACTTTCATTATACTTGAACATTTAACATTTATTAAAATATATTTCATGCACTTTCACATCAAAAAGAAATTGTTATAACCTAAACGATAGCTAATATTTATGTTTCTGTGTTTTTAGTTGTATTATCTGTTTATCATGTTGCTTCAATAGTTGTAGTCTATGTTGCTTCAATAGTAAATGCTTCACGTTACTTTATTAACAAGCATGAAATGTCGTTATTGTAGTGAGCCTTCCCGTCTAGTAAGGCCTAGCATATGTTTCCTGGTTTATTATGGAAATTTTCTTCATGTATTGCTTTACATCTAGATACAGTGCATAGAGGTAAGCAGCAGAATGTCCTGTGTATAATTGACTTCTTAATTGAATAATGAATAATCTGTAAATGCAGAACATTAACTGGGAGGACGGAGGGCAGATATTCCCTACCTGCAGTAATTCTTAGTGTTGACTGTTGACGATTCTAGGGCAGTAAGTCTACTAAATTTGGGAGGTACAGTTTTAGGATATTGTGGATGAATTCATACTTGTTATGAAATATAGAGGGAGCTCTAGGCTTTGAAAACTTATGATGTGAACTCAGGAAGGTAGTGGTTCTCAACCTTTTTGTTGATTTAAGCTGTGAATTCTGGGGTTCTGTGTAAAATCATGACCAAAGCTTTTGTGCTGTTTACTGTCAGGAAGGTATTCTATTGGATTCTATTAAAAATCTCTAGTAAAGTCTTTATCTTAACACACAAAGTATATTGACATAAACAGTATTGTGTTATCCTCTATCTCGTTTTGAAAAGGTGTCAATAGCAAACCCGTAATTTTTTTCTACGCTTTTCAAATTGCACAACCCACCCTCTGTTCTCGCTGTGGGCCCCTATTGGGCCGCAGATCCTAGTTGAGAACCACTGAACTAAGGGATCATTGAAGAAAAGATTCACAGTGACTTCAGAACAAAAACACTGTCAAAGTCATACAGAGCTGATATTTTATTGATTGTTCATTGATCAGCCATATTATTAAAACCACCTGCCTTATATTGTGCAGATCTCCCTTGTGCCGCCAAAACAGCTCTGACCCGTGGAGACCTCTGAAGGTGTCCCGCCATTACTGGCACCAAGACATGAGCTGTAGACCTTTAAGTCCTGTAAATTGCAAGGATGGGCTGGGTTGTTCCCTGTGAAGCACCTGCAGCCTCTGGGATGGTCTCCGGGTCCCCGCAAACCTGAATAAGATAAGTAGTTACAGAATGGATGGATGGATGGATGGACAGATGGAGGAGTGGATGGAACTTTTCCACGAAACTTGTTTAGCTAGTGTCCACAATTTCATTCCATTCTTTATATCTGGAACCTGCACTGCAAAATTTTGGGAAATGCATGTTATCCCTTTAAAACAGTTCCACACACATCCGTCATAAAGATGTCCCAAAATTATTAAATATATAATGCTTTTAAGGCCCAATTTTCCACTTTGGGATCAAACAAATGTATTAACCTAATGTAATCTAATTAAAATATAATTCTCATTTAAATTATACTTCGTGTAATTTGTGTAATTTCTGTACTATGCCCATCATGGTTTCGGTACTAATTGGCGTTTGTGTGGAGAATGCAGGCTGAACAAGGTGCTAAGGGCAAAAGGAAGCCTAGCTGATGGGATTTTATTCTTGTGCGTGTGCAGTATGGATGGTGACTTATAAAGCTGCAGAGCAGAAAAACAGATTACAGTCAGCAGTTTCAAAACCTAGGGCCTGTAGCGTTTTCCAAAAGGAAAGGTTTTGGAGTGAAAAGATATATGGAAGACCGACACATTATACACTTAGGCAGGTATTAAGTGTTTTAGTGTATTTTTGCTTGCTGTGGGTTTTTTAAAGTCTCATACTACCCAGCAACATTATTGTATTTTATGTACTTGTAGATCTACAATGACAAATTCTTTGAATGTGCAAACCTTCTCAGCTAATTGTTATCTCCGCTATTCTATTTAAAGTGTACATATTCTGTACAAGATCACAAGGATTTCCCCACTCTAGGTTCAATCTAAAAACATATGGTTTAGACAGACTGGCTTCAATTGCTGTTGGTGCTCAGTTTTGTGGCTGAATGTTCCACGGCAGACTGACGTCATGCCCAGTCCTAGTTAGACTCTAGCAATATACTCCGAATCAGATCAGCCATACACTTAAAAAATAATAATAATACTGTTTTAATCTAGTCACCATCTTGATGCTGGCAGTAGAACTTCATAAACAAAATAGAAAACACAAAAATGAAAATCCAATGTAAAAATTCCAAGTACAATTCTTATAACCAGAACGGCATATGAAAAATATATATTTTAGGGAAACACAAGAAAATATACCAACTGCTGTACTTCAGGTGTGCAATAAGTTTCATTCAGATTGATAACATTACCTAGGCATACCTTTGTTGTATGTAGTTAGAATATTTTTCTGTACAGAAAGCATTTTGATGTGTTGTCTCTAGGGTTTGAGGTTGGAATCCTATATCCACTCAGTGCATATGAGAAATCTGCATGCAGGTTACATACTATTGCAGTTCAAAGACTAATAAGCATTCAAGCTAATAAGCATCTGTAAATTGCCCGGAGTGCATGTGTCCTGCACTGGACTGACATAGATAAGTGAGTAGGGTAAGAGTGAAGATCACAGCGCCTAACTTAATCCCAAAAGACATTTCAATACATTTTTCTACATTCTTTGAGTTTTCAAAATTACAGAACTACATACAACATGTGACTGCAAATTTGTGCAATGAAATACAATGTGCAATGATGCAATGAAAATCAATAATATAAACAATCCTTGTATATTCTACAAATAAAATTTAGTTATAAAAGTTTTTTTTTTAATTGTCCTCCATATCCTCCTGAGACCCAAGGAAAAAAAGTGTCCTTCAGTTTTAGGTTATTTGTCTTTGGAGGAAGTAAGACATCTTACAATTTGGATTTTTTCAAATTTATTTTTATTTTTAATTTCACAGCATGTCCTCTTTAGTGTACAACAGGAATAAATACGTTTCCTTACATCAGTGGAAAGATAGATGCAAAAACAAAATGTCCACTGCAATGGACATAAATGAATGGGTGGGGTCTCAGGAGGTTACAGGTCACTCTTCCATGAGGTAAAATACTGTGTATGTCTAATGAGTTAAATTTGAACTAATGAGTGAAACTGAGGGGCTTGGGTGACTCCAGATTAACCCTAATACATTGCCAAGAAATCTCCAGGGGTTCTTGCTGGGGGGGATATTGTTGGTCTATGCCCCAAGGATAAAAAAATAAGACGATCGTATGGTAAGGTAAAACTGGACAATCAATGGATTTGTGAGAATATTCTCTTCCAAAACGTCTTAATAGGTGGACAAGCCGATATACAATGTGATAATGTATCCAAAGAGACTTTACATTTAGTGCATAGATTTGACCTGAAAAGTCTGTGAACAATTTTAAAGTGCCTCTCTACGAAATGATGATGAATGAGTTAAGGTTTGAGTCATACAGCCTAGGATATCATCCCATTTATCATCTGCAATAGCCATGTTAAGGTCCATTTCCCACCCAATTCTATTAGAATTGATACTGTGTTTGCTTCATTCAATACATTGTAAGATCTTACAGTG